AAGGTTTGCTGTGTTCAGCACCTGATGCAGAGGTGTACTTATTCAGAGGGAGGAAGGCTGATACATGGCGGTAAAGAGGTTGAGCATGTTAGCATCTTTTACGTTTTTTTATTTGAGCCATGCTCCACAGGAAAGGAGACAGATCTGCGTAGCTGATAAAACGAAGTTTGCTCTTTCCTGACTTATCCACTCACCACTGCTCAGACTGCCGAACCCCACCCATTATAAAAAGAGCGTTGGTGATATATTGGTTGGATTGCAGGCTATCAAAACTGATGCAGCAGTTCATCCTGCCAGCGAGTGATGTGGCTGCAGTGTGAGTTTGTGGTTGGTTGGTTTCTGAAACAGTGCCCACCAGCCCATTCACGTGTCTTATCCACTTGTTAAGCTATTGCACGGCTGCACCGCTCCACAGGCTTCATACTTTGAGGAATTTGCCCAGTGTATTTGCGTAAACGATTATAAAGACTCTTGCTAACTGGAGGTGTTTAACAATTGTTCGTGTCAAGTGTATTTCTCTAGAGCTGCGCCGTTCAGTACAATAGCCACTGGACAAAAATGACGTTTTAAATTTAAATTAATTAAAATGTCAACTGATAAGAGTTAATATGAGTTTTTTGGCTGAGAGTCTTTAAAGATTGTTCGCGGATTTAATGGAGATTGACGTGTAAAATCAGTTTTTCCCTTAAAAATCACACTGCAAGAGAATGTTTAATGGCATGGGAAAGTACTCAGGAAATTGTTAAACAGATTACAACACAGCATGCCAGGTATGATCCCTTTTCTGATAAAAATACAGATATGTGTGTGTTTGCATTAAAATTAAAAAAAAAAGTCAAGTGCTCGCCACATATGGCTGCTGACTGCACGGTGGCGCAGTGCAGACAGGGAACATTTCCATCAGGGCAGCAGCTTCTATTGAATAGCACTGCTCTAGTAGTTCCATGAGTTCAAGTGGCGCCATTTGCCTTAATAGATTTCTAGAGCGTCTTAGTTATCTAGTGCTGCTGTAACAGAAATACTGCAAATGGATGGCCTTAACAAAGAGAAATTTATTTTCTCACAGTCTAGGAGGCTAGAAGTGCAAAATTCAGGGTGCCATCTCTAGGGGAAGGCGTTCTCTCTCTGTTTGCTCTAGGGGAAGGTCCTTGTCATCAATGTTCCCTAGTCAAGTAGCTTCTCAGCACAGGGACCCTGGGTCCAAAGGATGCGCTGTTCTCCTGGCTCTTGTTTCTTGGTGGTATGAGATCTCCCTGTCTCTCTGCTCACTTCTGTCTTTTATATCTCAAAAATGATTGACTTAAGACACAACCTAATCTTGTAGATTGAGTCCTGCCTTATTAACATAACTG